GCTCTTCCAAAAAGCTTAACTTCTCCATAAATGAATAATTAAATAAATATTTATTATGTAATACGAGAAGCAAATTAGTCGAAGTCGAATGCTAAATGATCATGAATTTTATTAAGTTTTATTTGTCTTAATGATACCATTTCAATTAAAAAAAATGAGTCTGCACATAAAAAACATAGCACCCTTGGCCTATCAGACCATTTTTGGGATCTCATGGATTTCAAAGTCAATTTATTATCAGATATATTTTTAATGATACATAATATTATGTGATAAAAAAAAACTTATTTTAAAGAAAATCTTGCTAGTACTCTAGTAGATGTTTCATAGGTAGTAGTGTTTAGTTATAATGTTTCTAGGCAAATTTTAGCAATGGATGATATATCAAATTATATCCCTTTTGATGCACACATCCCACACACACACACACACACACACACACACAAAGAGCAACGAAAATTAGAACATTCATTAGCAAATGAGAGAAATAAACATATTTTACGTTCAACTACTCGACTTGCAATCTTCTGGGCCTCATCTAAATGTGAAACGCATTAAAGCCCAATTTCCAAATTTTACAAAGCCCAAATTTAGAAGTTTAAGAAGAAAAAGTTCCTGGTTGAAAGTTGTTGTTTATTTATTCTTCATTTCTGAAGTTCAGTTGCTAAATTGCAGTTTTCGGTAAAATTAAGAGATGATGAGCTAGATCAAAAGCACTACAAGCGTGCCGCGTGTCCTTTGTTGTGCTAGATCCGAATCATAATTTTTATTAGGAGCTCAAGATTTGACGTTTGAAAACATTAGAACGGAACAAAAATATGAGCAATGTCACACAAAAAAAATTATATTGAATAAAATGAGAAGAATTACACAAATTATACTCAAGCCTCATCAAATTTTGAAACACTTCATGATATTCTTTTTCCTCATTTGCACGAGAGAAAAATCGAAATTCAAGACATCTAATCTACTAAGACAAAGCAATAAGAAATTTCCAAAAAATAGTTGTAGGTGTTGAAGTGCAACAATATTGTGTTTTAACGCTTCAATGGGTGATGGGGTGTTGTAGTGTCACGTTATCGGATGCTGAAACTGGAATAGGCGATGTGGTGCTGCTGATCTCGGTGCTGCGACACTCCATTCCGAGCACGAGAGTGTCATGCTCTAGGATTATGAATCTGAACTGGGTGTTGTGGTGCTGGTATTTGGTTGGCTTAGGTGTCTAGGTGTTGAGGAGCTCCTCTCAAGAGGTTGGAGTGGCATACATGTAGGTTTTGATTGAATGTCATAGCGCCATTACGTGGGTGCTTGGCGGTATGGTGATAAGAAAAGAAAAAAATTGCAGAGTAGAACCCTTACAACACAATGCAGAGCGGGACGGGATACCTTCTCGTATCCCCTGACAAACTTAAAATCAAATTTGAACAACGAAACTTGATGCTCTAAATGAACAATTGAAACACGATCAGACACCATATAATATCATTCTTTCTTTTCGTATTTATTATTTTTATGTAAGAAAATATTGGATAAAAATTAATAAGTTTGAAATATCATAAAATTTCTTTTACTTGTGTGTTGTTCAAATCACAGTTAAAAAGTAACGGAAAGAACAGAAAGAAGAGCATAAAAATTTACAAGTCATATTAATTATGACCGCATAGCGCAGTGGATTAGCGCGTCTGACTTCGGATCAGAAGGTCGTGGGTTCGACTCCCACTGTGGTCGCATTTTCCTATTTTTAAGTGTCAATTTCTCAATAAAATCTCTACTTCTCAGGTTTTGATTTGCATTAAATTTTGGGTATCTGCAAAACAGTCCAATAAAATCTCTACTTCTCAGGTTTTGATTTGCATGGGTATCTGCAAAACAGTCCGCCCAGGCGCCCACAATATCTATATATCTTGATCAATCCATAATTTTTTATATTTATAATACATACATTTTTTACATGACAGTAAATATTTTCATTTATACCAACAAATTTCTATCTTTATTATTTATTAAATTTTAATTTTTAAATTTCTTTCAGCGTAATCCGTCATATCATCAAAGTTATTGGTATTGTTATTTTAAAAAACAGTAATGGATAATCTTTCTCGCATTATACTAAGTGAAATGTATGTAAATCTTTAGAGTGAATTGTATATATATTTTTTTTATGTAAGCATTCATGCATAATGTTGAATCCAAATGTGTTTGAGAAACAAATCAAAGGAATGAAAAGTTTTACTATAAAGTGGTGAGAGAGAAAGAAAGCAATAAAAAGTGGGTGTTTTATTTATGACATGAACCCATATTTATAGGCATAAATCCAAATATTAAAAAAAAATACACATTAAGCCCTCATTATTAAAATAAAGTGGTGAGAGAGAAAGAAAGCAATAAAAAGTAGGTGTTTTATTTATGACATGAACCCATATTTATTAAAAAAAATACGCATTAAGCCCTCATTATTAACAAAAAGTAGGTGTTTTATTTATGACATGAACCCATATTTATAGGCATAAATCCAAATATTAAAAAAAAATACACATTAAGCCCTCATTATTAAATTTTTAGGAGGATCTTTTGGTAACTATTGAATTATTCGCATATAATATGATCAAGTTCGACTGATGAGGGTTGTTGATCGTCTGATAAACCTGAGCTCGATCGATATCTAGTCCAAAAGAATGCCTCCCATCGATCGGTAATAATACAAACTTTCGTCCTGCAGGAGCTTCTCCTGCCTCCTTCTGTCGATCATTCGAAAAAGACGTTTGTGTTGCCAACATTCATCTAAAACAAATGTTGAAGGCTATGTTCGATCGTCTACATCACTTCATGGGTCATTCATTTGTTTCGAGATTTGTGTCGACATAATTTTATATGTACATAATTAGTTCCTCAATTCTCTTGCTCTCAAGAAATTATACAGCACACGAAGATAAAAATAATATATTTTTAACATGATATAATTAAATAACATTATTGCGCAATAATGAATTTTTATGGATTTTCATGTCAGTTCCATTATAAATAGGTTTTGGGACAAGGGAGTTTGCACCGTTTTCATGTCTTCTGGCTCCTTTCTCTCACT